CACCAGAAACCAGTGAGTTATAGGAAATACACTCTTTATGCAGCCTGCTGGGTCTGCCAGGGGTACGCAGACCCCAAATTAAGCAGCCCCGAAATGTAGAGGTACAGGGTTTTTAAGCCCTAAATCTCATTCCTCATTCTGTCTTAACGCAAAAGTCTATTTTTCTTCTATTTACTGTCAACCCACAGGTCGGTTGTGCAAGCGGGGGGTAGAGAAGCAGAAGGCTCATTGTTAGAATGTGATGTTCCCATGGGTGATAGCCTATGTTCTCATGGGCGAGAGCCAAGCAGTGATTTTCCAGCCAGCACACCAGGAAGCCCGGCGTCAGAGGAACCGAGACGGTAAGCTGGCTCCAGTGGGCTTCGAGGGACCATGACGAGACTCAGCAACGCGGAAGAACTCGGCTCAGGCAGTTTCGGGGTGATAACGCCGGAGGGCAGGCCCCCGCCCCTGTGTAGGGTTGAGAGTCAAACTGGGAAGACCCAGGAGCCACCAGAGCCCAAAATATAAGGATCGCAAACAGGACACAAGGTCAAGAGTCAGGAATGAAGCAGACACTGGGTTAGGAAGGAAGGGTCCGGGTACGTCCACGGGACGACGTCACAGTGGTCGAGCTCACGTGTACGAGGCCGTGGGCCCCACCTGACGTACCCGAGCCCTCGCGGGGAGCCTTTGCTTCCTCACGGACCTCTTGCCCGGTCCCAGACGCAGCTCATTTACTTCCCCACTGACCCCGTGAGCTGCAGGCCCTGTTGACCTCTTCGGCTGTGCGCACAATTCCAAGCGGGAAAGCACGCAGCCGTTTGGGGATGCTCCGCTCTGTCGGTGAGAACTTGGACATCGAGTTAAAAATTAAGCAGCGAAGCCAGACGCGGGCTCTTGGCTCTGAGAATATTGGGTCAGTGCTGCTGCCTGCTCACCACGTGGCTCGTCATTTACCCCGTGAACCCGCAGAACTGGTGGAAAGTGGGAGGGACGAGCCGGCTTCACGGCAGCCTCTAGTCTGGCGCTGGACACGGACGGGTTTAATGCTGGGGGTGGGCGCTTTTCTCCCTTCGGGTCAGACAATAATTACTGATCAATCAGAGAGCCATCAATGGAGGGAACGGCTTGCGGCACGTCTGCGGGAAAAGTAACAGCCTAAAGACTTCCATCCGGGCATGGTTTCTGGTTCCAGACCAAGAAGACACTTTCTGGAAAGGGGGTCATCCGATCGGACCCGCAGCAAGGCCCGAGAGGCCCCCCGTGCCCGCGGACACGGCCGGTGGTCACCGCTCCGGGGATTCCGTGAGTATTCCCGTGACATCCTGCTGAGCGGGACGGGCTTTGGCCCTGGGGAAAATACCGGATCAGAACTAACAAGGTTTGGATCTGGAGACTGGAGCTTTTCACACTTCCACAGGTGTTGGAAATTGTCCCTCAAGCGACAGAGACTATGAATGAAGCTGTGAGTGGGACCGAGGGCGGGAAATGTGCACACGAGTGACGTCACCCGGTCTGTGAGCCCAGGTGCCGGTCGGGGTCCGATGGGAAGCCCAGGGAAAGACTCGGGGATGGGGACAGGGACGGGGACGGAGGGAGGTGCTCAGCTTGCCAGGTTGTCGCCTGTGCGTGGGCCCTGCTGCCTCCCTCCTGCCGAGCGGGGTTGGGGGTCCCCACGGCACAGCCCTGCCTTCCAGGGTCCCCCCCTATTGGTGCTCAGTGTGCTTTTCTTTTAATCCCCATGATTAAACCCCAAAAATGAACTGGCAGCCTGACAGAAATGACCGACTGGAACGACTGACTTCATTTCCGACCCGGCAGCCTTTCAGGAAGGTGGCGGGTGCGAGGGGGCCGCAGACTTACTAACATGGGAAAAGGACCCTGGCACGTTGCCGGTGTTCGTATCCGGTCCCGACGGTCCCACCTAAAAGGAAAGGTTTAAAACCAAGTTAACAATCGATCGAAAGCATTTCGATGGAAATGTATTTTATTTGCTATAAGCCTGCGATTAATACTCAGAGAGGGCCCCAGGGACAGCCTGGTGCCCGTCCGTGATCACTGCCGTTGTCAGTCTCGATCGGAGTTCACAGCGTGCCACACTTGCGTTGAGGAGCCGCGCCTCGTACCTCGGCTTTCACTCACAACGGTCCCGGGAGGCGACACGACCCCAGCTTTTCCTGCAGAACTACTGAAGCTCTGAGAGCCTGCGAAACCTTTTCTGCACCGCTCACCCTGCCGATGGCAGAGAACTCGGTCCCCACGCGCCCTTTGACCTGCTGGCTCAGGCTCTTCGATCGCATGTGACGTTTACTCTGAGTAAACGAGGGGACTCGGCTAACAGAGGTGATGCAAGACGGGCTGAATGTTGGGGGAAACTAGGAACGATGTAAAGGCCGTCGGATCAAAATAGTGCGTTTGCGGCTACGAAGAACGGGGAAAAACCTACCTTCGGCTTATGCATACACCATATCATCAATTTCCTGAAATACGACTCTGTCTTGTGTCAACATTATCTTTAAAATACAGACTTTTCCTTAAACTCAATTGCAGTTCCATTTTTCTCTGTCTACTTAGGGCTCTGACGCTGGGATTCGGTGTGTTTTACAAGTGTGGCTTCTGAATGGCAAGGCTCGTGACGACGTTCACTGTGGGGCCGAGTCGGTCCCCTGAGCGCATATCGGTTCTGCCAACGCTCAGCCTCCCTGACGGCACACGCGTCTGTGATCGTTTTGGAAAAATAGTTTCCATTGCTACGTCACAGAAAGCCCGCTTTCTGTATCTGTCGCATGCAAAGGAAATTAACAACTGAAATGAGCTATCGAGACGAAATTCAAAGAAACGTTTGAAACCGTAAAAGCTGAGGTGGGGATGGCATCAATGGAACGGGGAGGGCGGCCAACCTCACAGCTTCGGGGTACAGTTTCGCTAACAAAAAAGGCAAGAAAGAGCAGTGGTTTGTTTGTTTGTCTGTTTGTTTGTTTGTTTAACTATTCCAAGCTCAACATGAAAGTATTTCCATCGCCAAATTTCCTTCTGGAATAAATAATTAAAACTTAATTTAAAATCATAAGTTCCTATCTAGAATACCTCCAAATGAAACTTCCTCATTGTGCTTAAAATATGAACGCAAAGCGGAAGCCAGCCTGACGGACAGGAAGGACGCGGTCTGGACGCTGGCAGACCCGGCGCTGGCCGAGGACCTTGTGGCCTGAGGCAGGTTTTCAAACTTTCGGCACCTCTGTCTCCTCGCCAATCAGACGAACGGCTGGGCCAGAGGGTCTGAGGCTCTTCCCGCTGCCGAGTCCGCTGTTCATGAGACTTCTCGGGGAGGCCGGTGGGAACCCCGGAGGCGGGGTGAGTCCTTGCAGCTGCGCGCACAGTTACGGCCGCGTTTTTGGACCTAACGTAACGAGGGACGTCGCACAGGAAATGATGTGACTGCTCAGCCAGGCGTCCGCCCCGCATCGCTCCAGCTGGATCCGCGTGCGGAGCACCAGACCGACCCCCGGGGTCATCCGGGTCCTCGCGAGGGCACAGGTGAAGCCAGCCGGTCTCCCGGCGCCGACCTTCTCCCATCAGCGACTGGGCCCCGACTTCGGTCCCCCGTAATTAAAACAGAAGATTTCGAAGCTTAGAGGCGAGATCGTGTTCCCAGAATTCTGGAGACACGTGGCGGGCAGGAAACCATGGTAACGAAGCCCCACGATTGTTCTTTCCAGACACTTAGCTTCCTCTGAATGTAAGATGAGTATCCGGTAACAGCAAAAACAAAAAACAAAACAAAAACGCTTGGTAGATACGGAACGTCATGGACAATGCCGTGTTTTGGAACCCAGCAGCAGCCCCGCTGGCACCTGCCTGAGTGTGTCTCTCCCTCTGGGAGAGTTCGTGTGTCACCACAGGCACAGAGTACAAGCATCTCCCGCACGTTATTCAGCACCATGGAGAAGGTTCTTTGAATAAGGCCGATCATGGGAATATTAAAATCGACTCGCCGAACCCTCATCGTCAGGTTAATCTGTCTCCCGTATCATGCTGTGCTACTAATACTGCCAAGAAGATGTTGGGGCAAAATTCTCCATCTGGGTCTTGGATTAGGAACATCCCTTAGGTGCGAGTAAGCCTCATTCAATTTACGTGCAGAAAGAATGCAAAGCTTTGAATGATGGAACCTAAGCATGATCCCTTGCTCGGGTCCTCCCGTTTAGAAATGGCTGCAGAATGGACAATATTCTAAGATGAGGACTGTTCCTAAGAGAAGTAAGTGTAAGCATCCCCCAAGAGAGCCTGACGGGTGCACGAACGTCAACCCACACATGTCCCTTTGGGGGTCACGATTCTCTTTACCTACCCAAATAGCTGCATTTATTCGTAATTATAGTAGGAACCCCCATTCGGTATGATTTTATAGGTGATTCGAAGACCTTTTCAGCCCTATAAAGTGTCCAAATTGTGTGTAGCAAAGCCAAGAACAAACATCTTAAACCTTTAAGGCATTTCGCAATGTCATCCTCGTGTTCAAAGATGACACCACGGCACCTGGTCCCGACTGTGCAGAAGGGACAGAATGAAGGGAAGGCTGCTCTGGGCGTCTCTGGGACTCGTGTCGTGCGACTGACGCCGGCAGGCCTCACCTCGCAGGTTCTTTGTGGTCTGTACTTCTCTCCTGGGACTCGGCAGCGCTGCGGAGAAAGGCGACCTGTTCTCGCAGGACAAGAAAGGGAACAGACGGACAGAGAATCTAAACGACACAGCTGGGACCTACAGCCCGACTTTCTCATCAAAGTCTAGTCCTCCAGAAGCATGGCAATGCAGTTGGGTACCGCAAAGCGTAAGCCCCGGGGCTGTCAGATCAAAACGTTTTCTATTGCCAACAGAAGGGCCGGCACCAGGAAACGATTTGCGGGCCACGTGCTGACCGCTGTTCTGCCCATAGGTCAAAGCCTGGTGTGGCGACAGAGATTCAGGGCAGAGCGGGCTGCCCTGCCAAGTGTGGCGCCACTTCCCAGAGGAGCCAGATGGACGAGAAGCCGCCCGCCAGGGGAGGTAAGGCCCCTCGCATGGCCGCTGATGCCCAGGGTCCCTTCCCCTCCCGCTCCCTCTCCCGCAGGTCCCGCTGCCATGCCACCCTGGCAGAGACCCTCAGGGTAACGTGGCAGCAGCTCCCGCCTCTCAGCCTGTTGCCTGACCCTTCTTCCTCGGGAGGCCCCCTGAGTCACCATCAGAAATTCATTAAGCCGAACGAGCACTGAATCCTGGGACGTAAGGACTGAGATGAGTCCTGAGAAAGTCATTTGAAACAAGGCCCCAGCCGGTGCCTGGATTCCCGCTGGGACTTCCTTGCCAAGTAGCCGGCTCTGTCCCCTGAGCTTGGGAACTTGCGGTCTCACGGACGTACTTCCTTTGCAGGACACCAATCCTGTCCCTGAGCAAACCGGCCATTAAAATGATTCCTTCCACGTTTATTTTCTGTTTCTTTACAGGTTTTCTCTTTGTGTCTCTTTAGTCCCCGTTCTCAAAATAGGCACCAAAAAAAAAAAAAAAATCAAACTCGTCATTCACATGAGAATCCTTTCAATAGTGGCCCTTAGTTCCACTTCATGGGGACTTTTTATAAAAAAAGTGTTGCTTCTGTGGCATACTGGGTCCCCCCTAGCACCACGTCACCCACAAACTCAGGACAAGGGGTTCTCTGTATTAATTTTTAAAAAGTTATGAAATGCCACGTGACCAGCGAGTCCCGGGCCACGTGAGTTCCTCAGTGCAGACGCGGCTCTCTAAGCATAAACGTGACGGTTCGTGGCTGGTGACCACTCAGAGCAGCTGGCACCACGGACTCGCAGCCGGGGATGGGGGTTAGTGATGAGCTCTGCCACTGTCCCCCCGCCCCATTACCTTTATTTCAGAGCAATGAGACATAAGTGTCACCCTACATTTGTCATCTGCGTCCCACACCTCCGAAAAAAAGGCCGCATTTGCTTTGTACTTGATTGTAAGCTCCCAGATCCGTGCCCCGAGGCCGACTAAAGAATGTGACAGAGGGGCCTGCGTGGCAGTAGCCTCGGTGAGACAAGCCGCGGGGCTGCGAGCACCCGCCCCTTTGCCACCCGGCCGCAGGAGGGGCGGAAGGAGGCGGCCTGGCGGCAGCTCACTGCGCCCTTGGGCGCCGGTCCCCAGGTCCCGGCTTCTGCTCGCTGCGCTGCGGACTGGCCCTGGTCATGCACCTCTCCAACCTGGCCCTGATAACGCAGCGCGTCGGGCTCAGCATCGCCATCGTCGCCATGGTGAACGGCACGCGGCGGCCGGCGGCGCCCAACGCCACGGTGGGAGCGGATGCGCACGGGGACCCCGGCGGGTCCGCCCAGGAGCTCAGGCCAGGGGTACGTGCGGAGGGGGTGCAGAGGGCGGCTCTTGGCTGGGAGGCGACGCCGGCCGGATGGGGGGACCCCGGGGCTGGATCCCGGGAATGGTCGATCTTGGGGGTGGCTGACCTCCGCGATACAAGCATCTTCCGTTGAGGTTACGATAATTTCAAGGTGGGGGACATAGGAAAACGTGAAAACGTACGGAAAGGAACAGGTGAGCGGGTGTCCGCGGCGCGTCCCCGGTGCGACTCTGCCGGCGTCGGCGCCTTTCCGCGC